GACGGGCGGCAGTTGCCACCATCAGCTGCTGAGCAACATCTCAGAGGAGCAGGGAAGGGTCCCCAGCGGTGCTCAGCACCCTGTCCCCAGGCTCACCGAAGCGCCATCCCCGCTGCCGGTGCGGCGCGGCGAGCACAGAGAGCCCCTTTCGCCCCGCTCGCTGCCCACGTGTTGAGGAGCTCAGCTCCCAGACACAGCAGGGTCCAGCACAGGAGCCCTCGGCCGCAGCAGGGTGCAGTGGGTGACACAGCAGCGGCAGCGCCCGAGCTGCAAGGAGACCCGCACCCCGAGCAGGGCTCTGCTCCCGTCCCGTGCTGCAGCGAGGGCATGGGAACCCTCATGGCCACTGCTGGGCACGAGCAAGACCCACTCAGAGGGCAGCACCCCGCGCCCGTGAGTGCCTGCAGGCTCCCCGGTGGCCGCCATGGCCTGACAGGGAACCACGCGAGGGCCCTCCTGCCAGCAGGGCCCAGGCCGTGGCAGGGGAGCAGGGCTGCAGCGCAGCCGCACGTACCGCTGGGCGCGTGTTTCTTCGGGACGCACTGGCCACGCTCGTCTTCCACGAAGGGCTGGAGACAGGGCCCGCAGGCGCCCGCGCCGGGCGTGCAGAGCTCGCGCCGCCGCAGGGTGCAGTCCAGGCTCCGGGGACACGACGGCGCTGCGGAGACAGGGAGAGGAGATGTCAGGCGGAGCGCTCGGCCACGCTCCCCACTGCCGAAGCAGCCCCAGGACCTTCATCATAGAATGCTCAAGGTTGGAAGGGACCTCTCGAGGTCATCTACTCCAACCCCCTGCATATGCAGGGCCACCTAGAGCACGTGGCACAGGACTCAGTTCGAGTGGGTTTTGAAGATCTCCAGAGAAGGAGACTCCACAACCTCTCTGGGCAGCCTGTTCCAGTGCTCTGTCACCCTCACTGTTAAAATTTTTTTCCTTAAGTTCATGTGGAACTTTTGGTGCTTCAGTTTGTGGCCATTTCCTCTAGTTCTATCAGTGGCTACCACTAAAAAGAGGTCGGCCCCATCCTCCTCACTGCCTCCCTTGAGGTACCTATATACACTGATTAGACCCCCTCTCAGCCTTCTCTTCTCCAGGCTGAACAGGCCCAGCTCCCTCAGCCTCTCCTCATAAGGCAGATGTTCCAGGCCCCTGACCATCTTTGTGGCCCTGGCCCATCATCCTGATGGCAACTTGACCTCAGCTGCATCTCGGGCTGATGCACAAACAGTTTTGCTGCTCTGAGGAATTGCTGAACATCCCCGAGACAAATCCACAACCGCCCTGGCCAGAGATTAAGAGCAAAAGAGGCGCTACGGGCCCCTTCCCAGGTCCACATGTCCCCACAGGCCCCCGGACAAGTGTGTTCTCCCTGGAGCTGTCCCCAGCTCTGGGCTCTGCAGCAGTTAACGAGCAGCAGCTAATTGCAGGCTTAATTGCAGCAGCCAACCTGGCCCTGCTCCGCTGGGAACCCTCCCACAGCCAGAACTGAACCCGACGCACAAGCTGTGCTCGTGGGGTCACTGCAGAACAACACCCCACCAGGCCACCGAAACAAACCCGGCTCCGGAGCCTGGGTGCTGCTGCCATGGCTCGTCACAACCCCACGCTGCCACGTGGGACCCTGAGCATCACCTTGCACCGGGATCAAAGTGTGTTGAATCACAGCAGGGCTGAGGCTGGAAGGGACCTCTGGAGGTCGTCCTGTCCAACCCCCCTGCTCAAGCAGAGTCACCTAGAGCATCTTGGATAGGATCGTGTCCAGATGAGTTTTGAGGATCTCCGGAGAAGGAGACTCCACAACCTCCCTGGGCAGCCTGTGCCAGGGCTCTGTCCACCAGCAGCTCCGTGTCACTCTTGTCCCGGGCGCAGATGTGGCCTCAGCAGGGCTGAGGAGAGGATCTCCTCCCTCCACCTGCTGGCCATGTTCTTCCTAAGGCGCCTTGGGATGTCATTGTCCTTCTCGGCCACCAGGGCTCACTGCTGGCTCGTGGTCAGTCCAGCAGGACGCCCAGCTCCCACTCTGCAGAGCTGCTCTCCAGCCTGTCCTTGTGCAGGGGTTGCTCCTTCCTAGCGCAGGACTCTACACTCCTGAGGTTCCTCTCCACCCAACTCCCCAGACTGTCCAGGTCCCTCTGAACAGCAGCAGAGCCCTCACTGAGACCTAACATGCTTGTGACATTGCTTCAACACGACAAGCACAAAGGACAGTCCAACTTCTTTCTGGATTTGCGTCAAACTGGTGGGATTTCCTAGCAGAAAATGCATGGCCTAAGTTCACTTGCCAGCATGAAGAGCAGGTGAGGGTGCCCAAGCATGCATGGAAATGGAGAGATGGACAGAGATGAGCCCCAGGGCAGTGACAAGCAGGCTCAGGACAGGGCCACCAGATGCCCAGGAGGGACAGGAGCAGCGAGACCCCCGCAGTCCCCTCTCCGTGCAGGAACAAGGGGGCCGCGGGGCTCGCGGGGCGCACAGGCGCAGCTGGTCAAGCCAGCACTGGAGGGGAACCTGGCACTGGAGCTCTCCATGGAGATGCTCCTCCTTGGGATAGGGGCCCTGGAGCAGACAGCACCTGCTCCCCGGCACGGCGGAGCAGACGGCAAGTCCTGGCTGTTTGGGCCATCCTGTCCCCACGCCGTGTCTTGCAGAGCACCGCGTCCCTCAAAGACCTCTGAGGAAGGAGGGCAGAGCTGCAGCGGGTTCCTTCAGCGCCGCTTTCTCCATAGCTCCCACTAGGCCCCATTAGGCAAAGACAAACCAGAGTCCGCCCGAGTCCAGCACTGCGCGGGGAATTAATCCAACGTGATTTGCTTAGCATATTTGCCCGCACGCCGCCACCAGCGAAAGGCTGGAGGTGCTTCATGCCCAATGTTTAAAAGCATTAGGAGAGCAACAAGAGGACCCGACGCTGCTCCTGGGCCTCCTAATTCCTTCATTAAAGAAAACAAGACCCAAGAGAAGACAAACCCAGAGAGGGATCCAGGCTGGATGCGATGTTCCTGGCCGGGAGCCCCCAAGGAGTCTGGCTGCACCGGCACAGAACCGACTTCTTTTCCTATTTGCTTAATGGGGAAAAATGGACATTAAAGCATGCAAAGAGAGTAATTTTTCTCTCCATCACCTCTTCACTTCAGCCTTGTTTTAGAAAAGCAGCAATGCCAAACACTCTGGACAAGGGAAAAGCTGCGGCGATGGGGAGATCCTGCCAGAATCCCACCGATCCGTAAATAAAGGAGATGGGGATTCCCTTATTCACTGGGAGGAAGCACAGGCTGCCTGGGAGCGCAGAGCCTCATGGGGAGCAGAGCTAGGGCTGAGGGCTGAGGCTGCCGTAGCCAAAACTTGGGCTACGGGGGCTGCCAGCGCCACCCTCCTTCACCAGCGCAGCAAGCCTTTAAACAACCCCCACGTTGAGCAGAGGAAAGGTCGTTATCTGTGTTGGAGGAACGAGCTGTGCTCATGCATCTGCCACGGGTGAGGAACGAGAGCAGCAGAGACGGGCATGAAATGCCAAATGTTTAATCAATCGCTCTTTAGCAGCCGCCTGCGTTAGCCCACGACATCGGACTCACGTTTAGTCACTGCAGCTTTGCAAGCTGCCGAGGCCCCCGTTTTCCAGTCTGTTCCCGGAGACATCTGGCCACTTGCGTAGCCATCGGGTGCAGGAGCGGCCACCAGCCCCCGCCGGTGGCAAAGGCCTCCTGGGCTCTTTCTACTGGCCCCACCAAAGCAGGACCCCGTGGCCACGCGCTCGCAGCAGCGGCTCCCCGGGGCTGCCGGGGCCCGGCACGTGCCAGCCGGGCTCAGCGCTCCCCTTTCATCAGGGGAACCACATGCTGGCTCCTGCACAGCCCCGCCACCAAACCACGGGGATGCCACAAGGCGCTGCGCGGTCAAGGGACGTCGGTGTGGGAGTCCGGGCCATGCGGAGGAGAGCCCGTGGGCTGGCACCGGGGAGACCTGGCTTCAAGCTGGTGCATGTCTGCGCTGTGTTTTCCATAGCACGAAGCCTCCTCCGGTCCTACTCACAGTCTGGAACGCCCACCGGCTGCGACGCGGAGCCCGTCCTGCCTTCCCGCTGCTACAAACCCGCCAGCAAACAGAGCAAGAGGAGCATTGCAAGAGGAACGTGCAGCAAAACGTTGCAAGAGGAGCGTGCAATAAGGCCCCAGTGAAGCACCGCTGGTGGCAGCACAGCGGGGATGTCCCCAGCACGGACCTGCCAAGGGAGCTGCTGCCCCGTTTGTGCCGCCCGTTCCTGTGTCACCAGGGCACAAAGCTCCGCGCCAGCAGCACCAAGCACTGCGAGAGGCGGCCTGCAACGCTTGGCCACATCAAGGAGAACCCATGAAAAATGCGGGGCTTTCTCCGGGCGCCAACCTTTGCCTCAGGTTCCTGCTTGCCACATGCAGGAACAGAGCTCCAAGGACAACTCCGCAGCCCGACACCTTTCTCCTAGTGCCCCAGATCTCTGCAAGGTGAATGAGAGCCCTCGACACCTTGCAGCCAGCGAGGGAAAACAAACAGCGGCTGAGGGCACCTGGGAGCCAGACTGGCCCTCCACCTCTGAGACGGTTTTCATTTTCCCACCATCATGTCAAAAAAAACAGGGGGTTAATTGCACCTGAGGGTTTAATTGCAGCAGCTAAAAGGGTAAAAGTTAGCTCAAGAGGGGAATTAATTAATGAGAAATCCCATAAGAACAGCGTCCTGCCTTGCTGGACTAGCGGTGATGACGACCCCAGCGCTCCTGGCCGGCCCCAGGCCAGGCTGCTCTCCACGGAGCTCGGCGCTCCGGCAGGGATGGCACCAGCTCGGCACCTCGGCCCCCTCTTCCACAGCAGCCAGCGGGAAGGGGATGCTCAAGATCCCAGGGTCCGGAATGGGGCTGCTCAACACGGCCACCAGGAATGCTGCCGTGTGCCGCCACGGCCCCAAGGACGCCTGGCCCGGAGACAGGTGTGGAGGGGTTCACCCGGGCCCGCCACTAAGCAGCTTTGGGAAGGGCAGGAGAAGGGGCACGGGAAGGCCGGAGATCTGGGCACGGCCACGTCACTGCGGGTGCTGCTGCCCAGGGCTCTCCGCACGCGCAGAGCGAAGCCGTTCGGAGCCGTCCCGGGTGCTGCCGGGCACAGGGCTCCCTCGGGCAGCCCGGAGAGCTGCCGGAGGCGGCGCTGCTGCTGCTGGGAGCCGAGCGCGGCATCGGCACTGCCAGTAAACTCGCCCAGAGCCCAGCTCCAAGGGCACCGCTCCTCCTGCCAGGTGACGCAGGGCCCTGCTCCTGGCTGGCATTTTCCAGCACGGCTGCGGGGAGCCTGGCACCCGGCCAGGGGAGTTTCCTTGGCTCCAGAGCCGCCGCTACCTTCCTGTCGGACACAAAC